CAAACTTTATTTTTTTGCAGAAAAATATCACAAGATGGCTTAAAAATAACAGGTTGACCACTGAACGATAAGCATAATTTTAGGCCGTAAACGTGATTTACTTTCCTTCTAGAAAGTAAAAAAAGTATGCAATGCAGTTTTTAAATTTTGCAATCAAGTTGCGTAGTTTTGAAGTTCAGGCATGATAGATAAGGCTGAATCTAAACACGATGTTCTTTGCTCAAAATTAAATGAAAGGTCTTAATCTGTTGAGAGGTAGATGAATACCTAGGTATGGTTCCACAATAGTGATTTCAAGTTATGTTCCTGCCATTAAAGTTGCTTACAGCACTGAAGAAACTACATGCAATAAGCAGAAAATGTTTCAAAAAGATAAACGGATACATAAATAATTAAACTCAATTTGGAAGTATGTTTAGCCTCTCGATACCGAGATACGCAAGTGCAAAAGTAAAAATAAATAAATAAAAAATGAAAACTATAACAAAATAAAAGGTTCATTTAACATGAGCTATCTGGATTTATGTACAAAATTTTACAAAGTGCCTAATCATAAAAATTTAATTTATAAAAGCGAGGGACTACATAATAAATTAAACTTTATAATTAATAGAATGTAATGATATTCTTGGTTGGATTAGTCTTCGGTAGAAAAAAATTCAACTAAAGCTAACGATTAAGGCTAAAAAACATACTAATTTAGAAATAATTTGTACATTACCAGATTTTCACACTTATACAAAACTCTACAGGGACTGCATAATAGTAAGTTTCCTGGCACTGACTTGACAGTATTAAAGAAACAATTTCATTGATAATAATTAAAATGTATTTTTAATTTTACACTTATTTTTGTTCTCATAAATCAGGAAGTCTTTCTTCGCATGAGTAGGAATAAAAAACTAAACTCTTCTAAATCAATCAACAACAGTTTAATTAGACTATCTTTTGAATTAACTTGATTATTATAGATCACGAGCCCTGCAATTTTTTACTCTTCAATAAATGAAAAGAAGTCGGGCTGGTTCCAAAATTACAGATGCATTTCGATTCAATTTTATGGATGTATAGAATTTTTCTTCCAATGATTATGACCAAGTGTTCAAAATATGAAAATGTAAAAAATATGATTTTTGTGAAATTCCAATACAGAAGCTGTTTTTAAGAGGCAAATCCACCAAATATTCTCTAAGCAACATAGTAATGTACTATGATTGTGCATTCAACGATGAGTCTATTACTTCAAGAAAGAGGACGTCAGAATTTTAGCAAATGAAAAGCTTAATTTTATTTATTAAGGGAGAGAAGAGGGAAAGAAAAAAAAAATTGAGGAATGAGGAGAGAGAGATTAGGTTGGTGCTATATAAGTTTTGGCAGAGGAGAGATGGGTGCCCAAGGTAAATGGTAGGTAGGTCAACAGCAAAATCTCTTTGTTAAAAAAATTTGAGTGAATAAATTAAATTATTTCTTGAAATAAAGGACACAATGTAGTTTCATACAATTTTGCAGAGGGTTCTAAGTTGCATCATGGTAGTTGAGAGAGGGTTATTACAAAAAGAACGTATAAGAGAAAGTCAAAAGGAAAAAGCATGGCATTATTGAGGATGGCTATCTAACATGAATTTTTGCTTCAGTAATTTTCCGAGCAGTTGCACATACTAAGATCTAGTAGATGTAAAAATTTAAAAGCGTACTAATCATCATGCAAACTTGTATATTCAAAAGCAAATATACGTAAACAGATAATTATCTCAGGTAATCTATTAAGTGATTGTTTTACTGACGAGGAGCGTGCTGGTTGCAAGTGTTAATTTTTTATTCCTGTTCTGAACAATCCATGAAATAATAAAGAGAGAAGAGGATTTCAGGTGCTCCTGTCAGATAGACCCACTGGTGTCAGTTGTGACAATTTGTTCTCTGCCAAAACTGAAAATTCCCTGAACTGAGGGTGATCCTCACTTCATGACTAGATTTCTTTCGGAGAGAGAAATTATTTGGAGCAATGCTCCTGACAATCATACAGACACATACCTAAGGACGCATTTTAAACTTTAAGCATACATCAGCAATTAACCAATGTAGTTTGTCTCACTTTTCCCCTCCTTTTTCTGCAATGTCCTGTATTGCAAAAATATTTAAGACCATTCTTCATTACAAAATTCAATGATGGCTGCCAGTAATTTTTTGGTGGATTTTTACCTCACAAAATAAAAAAAAAACCAAGATACGAAAAAAGACGAATGGACTGTTGCCCTAATGATAATTCCGGAACATATTTTGTTATCTATCATCAGTGTCATTACCACTGAGATAATCAACCTTTTCTTACAAAGGAAGTTAGATTGCTGTCTTGTAATTTGTAATATACTTCATACTCAAAAACAGCCAAAAGATAGGCTCACAAGCATATTTTGTCAGCATTAGATGAGATAGAATTTGACACTGACGTTCATAAGTTATGGCAATAAGAACAATTTTGCAGTACATATAGACTGTAAATACCTACATCATTTTCATTCCAAATAATTTTTGTGGACTTAAGTTATTACCTTTTGACAAACGAAAATTTGTCTCTGGCTAAGAATGCATTTGAAATTTAATGGTGGCAAAGAAAAAATCACTTAATAATGTAGTAAAAAATTTGAATCAGCTGGTAGATGAAACTAATAAGACTACAATTTGGAAGAAATTACAAGCGCTAAGTTCCAACTCTCCGCAGGAAGAATTACACATAATGTTGCAATTAAATTCTTGCTACGCATAATGCATTCAGTTAATGGTCAGCTTGAGTTCCGTATGAATAACATATTAACAGCAGGACTTTTTCATACCTGCCTACTTGTTTCATATTTATGATTTTCAATTTTCAAGGTACAAAAATAATGCAAATTACGAATGAAAATCTACATTGCGGGCCATGTTACGAGCCACATTAGTAACTGACAACATTACTGCTTGCATACATTGCTGGAGGGCTTTTACTAAGCTTGGAGAAGAAATTTGCTGTTTCTGCACAGTTATGAACCTTGAAATATTAATGTTTAAAAAAAAAAAAAAAAAAAAAAAAAAAAAAAAAAAAAAAAAAAAATCATACCTCTACATGCATTTGGAAGTAGAATTCCTCCTCAATCACAGAATAACAAAATGAGCTTGACTTGTTTATGGTGACTGAACTGATTCATAACTTGGCATGACTACATAAGTAAAAATATTTAACATTATTTTTAGGTGATGGACAAGAATCTCACTTCCTGCAACTGTCTAAAATAAATAAAAATGTGTTTTCGACCGAATGATTAGATGCAATTTTCTTCTCATTTCGAGAAGATGAATAAAATGAAAACATCAATGCAATCTCATAGGAGATTGATGCTCTCTCATGTCTTCTTTGGACGAGAAATCTAGGTAGGTAAGAAAATTGTCTGCATCATGTACAATGAAAGCATGAGCTGCCAAGATTTTGACAATTTGTAAAGATAAGAAGTAGGATTTCATTTGATAAATGAGGATTTAACGAAAGCAATATAAAAAAAAATGAATGATGGTAAGAAGATGTAAACTGATTTAAAAAGGAAGCTCTGTACAAAGCTGATCACAAATACTCTTACTTCAAAAATTATATACTTAGATCGAGTTAATCCGACATTTTAATCATCTGTAGTTCTGAAGACAAAAACACTTCAAGATGTAAAAGGAGATAAAATTCTATTTAAACGATCCAGGTTATGAAAAATTATAAAAAACCAGATATTATTAGCTGCTGCATTCATAAATAATATAATATTAGGTAGGATCATTAAGCCGTTATCAGTTTAAGGTCAATAGTATCACCCAAAGGCTGACCTAGTGTCATCGTATTATGATCAGTGCTGATTGAGGTCAATTTCACAACAAGAATCAACTTAGAAAAAGAAATGAACAAACTTTATCTGTCTTGTAATCTTATTTACCAAAGTTTTCTTTCAATTGCCGAAAAGGGAAGGACAAAATACAAATACATCTAACAACTCAAATAATAAATAAATATTGACAACAAAAAATAATTTTGAATGATACTGTATTCAAGATTTAAAAAATAAGTCCTCGGAAATGTAACCAATTTATTTGATAGGTGCTCTTTGAGGGACAGGTGGAAAGCTCACACTTCTAGAATGAATAAAGTCTTATGGTGAGCCATTCTTTCTGATTTTTGTTTCTCCCCAAAAGAGTGGCAGTTAAATGTATACATAAGGGGAAAACGAGGAATGTTCATATTTGAATGGATGAATGTTGAGCCTAACAAGTGATTTTTTTCTTAATAATCCCCCAAGTCCATCAGAATGCTTACATATCAGAGCAAATACAAAAATAAACATGTTCAGTTTCAACACTAACTGATGCATTTCAAAAGTAGTTGACAGCATTAATTTTAATTTACTCGCTACAATTTTGTCCGGAGGGGACTGTCAAAATTACTTGCAAATGTTTTCCTGTTCATATTGTCAAAACTGTTAGGTACCTTAAAAAAACAGAATAACTTCCTATCGATAGAAGTTGGAAAAGAGAATGAGGTGTCATTGTCAATGTTTTTAAAGAGAACGTCATCAAGCATTAAAAGTGGTATTTTCTAACGGAAAAATGACCTTCCTCATGGGTTTTCATTATCATTAAATAATTAAAAAATTCACTATCATGCCTACGTCAAAATTAAAAAAAAAAAAAAAACATGTATCAAATTGTAAACTAAAAAAAAAATCTCTTCTGACCTCTCATAGATTTAGATAAACAACTGCTAGGTAGAAATTAAAACGCTTTACCATGCCAAGCAAAACACCATTTCACTAACGCAGGCTGCAAGATTGTATAGAAAGTCAGTGACTTTGCACCTATGTATCTACGGAATACTCAGGGCTCTCTTTCGCAAACGCCAGGAACCCTAAGGAGCAAAAATGGTTCTACCAACAGCACATAACACTACAATGATACAGGAGCAAAAAGTGTTTATGTGAGCAGCAACTCACCATTCTGACTGCAGCGGTTAGTGATTGGCGAATGTACTCTATGATTATTTAGATCCAAAAATAAATCTTTGTTATTTATTTCACTAGATTTGAGGTCAGTCACGTTTGGTGTTGCAGGTATTTCCGTCGGACGGCTTCCGACAAATGAACTTTCTAACCAGCAGAGACGACCAGTGCTGCCTCTAGGTGATGCAGACCTGAAAAAAAAAAAATAATTATAAAAATAAAGTAGAATGCATGATGAGCTCCCAAACTGACTGTGCCTTCGGGGAATAAGAGGCAGGCATCTTCCTGCATGAGAACATAATACATGATTGAGAAAAATTCAGCAACTAAAGATAGTGCTCACCAATTTAGACCAAATGCAAAACTTACAAATTCCCTCTACTTACTGATACTGATTATGGTACCAAAACAATTACAAAAGCTATAAAGAAAAGAAAACAACTGAGAGAAAATGTGTCTTTTGAAAACTACATTTGATATTAAAATGTGGTTTGTGCAGGGCTGTAACTCATACCCGTGGTTCTCTCATGACCTTCTTTGGCCAACGATTTGAAACAATTTTTGGAAGACATCCAAAGAAAATCCTTGCTGGTTATTTCTTTAAGTTCAAAGTAAGTTGATTCAATAATTTTACAATCACATGTTAGACAATAATTTCTAATTTCAAATAATTTCTAATTTCTCACCTGGAGGGACTTGTAGATAATTCATTGTTCCATTTTGGAGATGGATTGCATGCTTCAGACCTATTTGAGACATAATGCACGATAGCTGCAGTGACTTCCTTGATTGAGGTTTGTACATCAGTAAGGCTTGGCACATTTTGTACCTGCTGCAAAGAGGGTTAACAATGAGCATACAAAATTTAAAGTTCAAAAACTGGTGACTGAAGTGGCTGATACAAGGTTGCAAGAACATAACACTACTTATTTACGATATGACTTCAAGTTTCACATCATTCAACTTGCTTTCCTACGGACATTACTTTTCCCAGTTTGTTTTGGTCTTAAAAAGTGCTATTAAAACAAATTCGAGTTGTGTCTGATTTATAGAGAAGAACAATGCACAAAAAAGATCAAAAAATACCAGGTACCGGAAAATCTCTACCTCGACAGATTCCGATGGCTGTTCTGTGTCGCATAGGGCCCTAGTGCGCTGTAAAAGCGACTAGTACATACATAGAATACACAAAGCAATTGGGTAGTGCAATGAGAAAACAAACACGATAAAATAGGTACACAAGGCTAAAATACATAAAAAACGCCTCGGACGTTTTTGGGGTGGTCTCAACCCCTTTATCAACCAGAAAAAAAAGTACAACAAAAAAAAAAATAACAAAAAATTTGAGCCCTGAGCCCCCATGTGTGACAACAAGTAAAAATAGTCTTTCGGACTTTCTTTTCAAGAAGAGTCTTTTTTCTTATCATACATCGGTTTTGATTCAGTGATTATTTTATATTTTCGTTTTATGGTTGATATGGGGATTGAGACCACCCAAAAATATCTCATACATTTTTGTGTACCTCAGACTTATTTATTCATATTATTGTGTTTGTTTTTCGTCTTATTTTTAGTGTACAATTGCGTCGGTTTTTTTTTCTTTCTTTCTTTTTTAAATGTATCTTGTTTTGATTGTGGTAGGTGTTTGAGCTCTGTGCAAGCTACAGACCTAGGCGGAGGGGGCTTTGGTTGTACCCTTGACCACTAGATACCACCCTTAATTGCTCTTCCGTGGTTACCTCTTCATCATTTTCATTATTTAAAATGAATAGGGTTTGAACCGAATCCGACCTTGGTCAATGTTTAGATCTACAGTGTCTCTCCACTCAAATGGAAATGAGAATTTAATGAAAATGTATTGAAATCATCTAGCTTTAGCTTAACCAACCGTTTTCATATACTCAAATAACCAATTGGGGCCTCTTCTAACCCATATTTACAACACACATTTACAGGTTTTACAAGATTTTTTTTTTCATTTCTTTGGAGCTCCTCACACTTCCCCCACCAGAATTCTCCTGCAAGATGTAGGGTCTCAAGTCAATAGCTCACTTCACAAAAAAACAGGGTGATACGTCACTTGGATCATACAGAATCAAACTATATACATGTAAAAACGTACGATAAGTATGAATTACGTTTACTACCCTGAACATTTGTTTTTAGTCGCATAAGCGCACTTATTTAGCACTACAAACTATTATTAACGGGCTATATCACTGGGAAACGCAAAAATTTTCATCAGAACTGGTTCATGCCTTGGGAGGCTCCGCACAGTAGAATGAGTCTTTGGAAGAAGTCGGACATGAAATTTTTGATAAAAATTGTAAAATTTTTCGTTAATCTCATCACAATTTTAATTTTAAGGGGTGCTTTTGGTAGAAAATTTTACGAGAAAACCAATAAAACTACTTTTAAACCATCAAAATTTCGTATTGATGAAGATACATGCTTGTAAAGTTTTTAAATCATGTCTGACCTCTCCCATTGACTCGATCCATTGAGCTCTGGTTGAAAATTTGAAGGGTAGCGATTTTTTTTTTCCAAAACTGATGCTGAAGCTGGAACTTCTAGAGGATTTTTGTGGGCTACTTTGTGAAGCACTATGTGGATGCCAAAATAGGAAAATTACGAACATTTTTATGAGCTGCTGGGTCTGTTTTGACCTGGTTGGTGAAGCTAGGGCTAGAAGCTGGTGCTTACTTGTTTCTGTTGAGGCAAGAGGCCAGCGGCTAGCCTCTCGGCAGGAGTGCGCGGTTTGTTGAGCCTCTCTTGAGAGCGCCAGCCGAGGTAGGGCTGCCTGTAGTTGAACGAGGACCGGGCACTGCTGCACGGCGATGTATTACTAGAGGTACAGCCACTATTCAGTCGTGTTGTGCTCCATCGAGAAAACACATGTGTCGGTGTCGGACTTGGGCTCATCATACCACCACCTGCAAACCAAAAAGGATCATCAGAAAGGACCAAGAAGGATCATCAGAAAGGACCAAAAAAGATCATCGAAAAGGACCATCAGACAGGACCAAAAAGGATCATCAAAAAGGACCAAAAAAGACTCATTAATTTCTATCACATCTGTCAACATCTACCTCCTACGTAAAAAAATATCGACGGTGTAAGTCGGCAATCATATAACTCGATTTGCGACGTCGCAGACTTCCTGTCATACTTATTTTTTAAACGGAAAACTACTTAACGGCAATTCTTTAAAATTACTGTGATTTTCCTTCTCTGTGCGAAAAAAATTCTGCAGAAACGTCGAGGAATAATGTCAATTTTTTCTCCTTCAAAAATAAAAAAATAACATAGAGGAGGAGTTTTTCAGACACCGCAAGTGAGATATGTGATTGCAGACTTACGCCGTCGATAAGAGCTGGGAGAATTTAGCAGCTTAAGACACGTAGATTTTGACTAAGTTCGATGGATAATTGAGAAAGTTTAATCAAAATTTAGTGAAAACTGAATTTAGAAAAACTTTGATCCAAGTTGAAGGGGTTTCAAGAAAAAAAGGAGAATTTGAACAGAGACAGACATAAATCGGATTTTTTTTTTTTTTTTTTTTTTTTTTTTTTTTTTTTTTTTTTTTGCGGATAAATCTTAATTTTGAATTCTTAATCTTAAATTCTTGGATAATGGTTGCAGGTTGCATATGCAGCTCCTAAAAATCATGAAAATTAGATAGGAGGGGCTTGGAGGACAATGCGCATAAGTGCAGTTTTCGCTATTTCGAGAAATACGTGTTAGAAGTTTCGAAATTACACGGATCCTAAGGGTGGAAAGAAAGTTGAAACTGACTTTTTGATGCTTAGAAATTGGAATTTGGGGGCAATTTTTTCACAGAATATGCATTAAGACTAGTTTTGCTTGAAATCATTAATGTTTCAATTTTTTCAAAAACTGCACTTATGCGCTTTGTCCTCCAAGCCCCTCATTTGATTCTGCATCCGTGGGTGCATGAGACTTACGATGGCTGCCAGTGGGGCTCCTGGGCGGGGGTCCGTGGCCGGCGGAATTGGAGTAGCTGGAGCCGAGGCTGGAGAGGGAGGTGGTTTTGGAGCTGAGTCCCTGCCACGGCTGGAGCGTGAGGTGGGAGTGGTGCCCGTGGCCATGCCCGGCGTCGCTGTGCCGCTTCAGGATGAACCCGGAGGAAGGGACGTTGCTGTTCTTATACCAGTCGGGCACGTTCAGCTTCTGAAGGGACTTCTGCACCCGGAGCTCATGCTCCGACAGGATCCGGTCGCCGCCCACCTTCTGCAGTTGGTTCTCCGGCGGCTGAAACAAAAAGACATTCATACCTCTGTTATTAGATGACTCTCGACACTAGACTTAGATCGTGAATTCTACAGGGAAAAACAGAGGCAGTGGTTGCTGCTTGACATGCAGAGGCGGAGCCAGCAATTTGGCAACACCAGATTTTCTCAATTTAAACCTATGCTAAACAATCGATTCTGTCGGAGCACCTAGTTTCTTCAAGAATCGATGCATTGTTACATGTTTACATGGGGAAAGACAATGTTGCCAATTTACAGGATTCGCCAATGTTGACATCGTCATTTCCAATTAATTGTGGTGGTGCCCCGATTAATTGAGGCGTTTAGTACAGAAAGGGCATTTCTCGGTTTCAGAATCTCCAATGCTAATTTGTATTTAAAAGAGGGGACCATAGAGTGAATTTTGAGAAGTTTTCAGTATTGTTAAATCATTAAGAAAATTTCCCCAAAAATTGGGCATTTCCTGATGAATCCCGCTTATTCCCGGTTCTAGTCACCATGATTTTGCAGGTCACTCAACATGAGGCTTCTCTAAAAAAGGGATGGAAAATCTATGAGGTTGCAGACTCGCGGTGTACACTGATCGAAAATTGTGTACACCGCGGTGGGTCAGACGTCGAGAATTTACGAATTCTCGAGGATTAATAAAGCGCGCATCGTGGTGCATGCGCAATGCGTGAAGTATGCCTGCAGTCTTGTAGGCGCTAATATGCGTTTTGCGCTGGCCGGCCGTCACCGTCCGTCCTCACTCCTCTGTTCGGTGCTATTATTCTAGCTCGCGCGGTCAGCATCGTGCTTTAAAGGGTCATTACCTATCCTATCCTTATTAAAACGACGCAGGTTATTGCGATTCATCGAAACAATATGTCGGCCGCTTAACTACCTAGGACACATAACTACAAGAACGTGTTCTTATGCTATTTTGAGCCCGAGAAAATATATTTCGACGGTAAAACTCTCAAACCACGTATCTCGTTTGCGGAGTTTAAAAATCTCCGCTCCTGTTCTATTTTTTCAAAGGCGAACAAGTCGACATCATTCTAAAGTTTTCTTGGACAATTATACGACGGATAAAAAAAAAAACAGTTGCCACAGATCCATTCAACAAGGAAAAACTGATGGAAAATGACAGTAAATATAATTGTAAAAACTACTCTCCGCCCCTCCGCATAGTTGAAGGACGCAACTCGAAAGTAGGGCAGTCGCGTGAATTTCAGGTGATTATTGGACAAAAGAGAGCATTTTTTTCACGTTCCCTCATCTGATATTTATTCCACCTCAGGACGGTGTTTTCGAGGTGTCGGGAATGTCACTATTCGACGGTCAGCCCTTTCACTACTAAACCATCGTAAGCAGAGACGAACTAGGAGCGAAACGTGGACTGTATGCATTGCACTATAATAGTGACATGAAGAAATAAGATATTCACTCATTCGTTGATTTATTGCTTTTTTATATTTTTTTTATCGTTTTTCAACGCCAGGATTCTCTACAAGAATAAATGTCAGTTGATTGGCTCTTTCGTTTCTTCCGATGAAATAAAATCCCCCCGTTTAAAGATCTAATTACAAAATTTCACTTGGTTACTCCCCGATTTTCAATTTGGCTTCATCCCCTTCCCGGATAATAGGTTTATTCTACGCTGCTCACTCGTACGCAAAACAAGGGATTACCGCGATGAAACAATTATGATAGCAGAGAGGGGATACCCTAATTGGAAGCGACCAGCAGATTGAGGAATTAACTTTTGGAGAGTGAATTTTCCAGCAAAAAATTTCGATTTGAGTAAATCACGAAATTTATGTTTATTTATTTCTGATTTAAAAAAAAAAAATTTAAAAAAGGTGGAAAATTTGTTCTGCATTGTGAAAGAAATGTTTGATTGGAATAAGAGCTGATTTATGTATTAAAGATTCATTGCCAGAGCAGAAGATTCGAAGTTCACAGAGAGGAAAAGACTCATTTTGTGAATGGGATTGCATTGCTGAATATTTGTGACCGGATTTTTGGAAAGGGACCTTCCTTTCCGGGAGAAAACTTTCCGTACCTTATGAAAATGCAATGTAAAAATCCGGAAATTTTGGCGCGAGTAATTACCCTAAAATTTCAAAAATTTAGGGAGAATATTGGTCCTGAAGTTCCAAGACGAAACATTTTACATTGTAGATAAACGTACTTAAGTGTTTGCAAAAAGTTAAGGAAAATTTACTCCCGGAAGATAAGGTCTCTTGGCAAAGATTGGGTCACATTTGTTTGGCAATATTGCACTGACATTTCAGCAACATTTCTTTTGAAACAATCCACAGTCCAAATGACGCTTTTGACACTGGTGGGAAATTATGGAGCTACGAATCTTACCCTCGCTGTATTGGATGAGCAGATTGAACGATATCAAGAGGTGATAGAATAGAATCGGGCCGCGAGGGGAGATTTGTTCAACCAAGCTTAAGGAAATCCCCTTTTTTTAGAAAAACATCTCAAAGCCCTCTCGCTGAATTTAGCCCGAGTTGTGTCACATCTAGTTTTTGACCTATTGTTAAAACAAAACTTTCAACGCTATGTTTGAGGATTTTAGGGCTTGTACAGCACAGAGAGAGAAAAGGAGGTGGTCGCATTTTGAGGGTTTGTTTACCTCGTGAAGTAGGTGGGAACAATATGGCGTCAATACTCCAGCAAAATCCAAAATGTGAAAAACGTGCCATAATGTCCCTTTTTTTTTGGTTTGACTCCAAACATAATTTTAAATGCTTTTTTCCATAAACCACACTATTTTTAAGAAACACAATTCCAAAAAGCGTCTGTACACCTACCTACGTTATCAACGAAATCTAAGATGCCCAAAACGCAACAAATGCTTGTATGATACATTTTACGGTCCAGATGTCATTTTCGGAACTAACAGCCTTAATCTCCCATTAAATTTAAAAGGAAACCATAGTGCTCGTCACCAAAAGATAAGTAGACATATTTCTACCAAACAGAACTGTGTGCACTTAGACATGAGCCCTAAGATCCATAAAGATATACGCATAATAGGGCTCAAGTCATAATACACATAGTTTCGTTCGGCAGAAACACGTCCAAATCTGTAACAAAATATGACAGAACCGGGCCTGTCTGTGGTGATGAATGATTCGATTCCAAACCTTGTGTTTCAGCGTCTGCACGAAAACCTTCACCGGCCTCCTGTACTCCTTCAACTTGCGAACGTTCATGTCCTTCAGAACTTGGAGCTTCACGAACGCGTACATCCTATCGAGGAACTTGTCGTCGGGCCCGAAGGACCCTCCAGGGACCCGCAAACGACGGGATGAATTGTAATGCGCGAAATTCGATACGTCTCTCATCGTGCGAAACTGAGCTGCGTTCGGTTCAACTAATTGGGGATAAGAGCACTGTGAAATGATCGTCGGGCATGCTAACCTCAACCTCGCGTAAACAACCTGTGGACGAACTGTCGCGTCGCGTAGCCAAAAGCTCCGTTCACCGTAAACTGCACCGGTTTGGACTATGAACCGCGCGCAACGCCAATGCCGTACAGTGGATCGAGTCAATGGAGAATTTGCATTCATATTTTTTATTGCTTCATCTGAAAGGACGTAAAGAGCTGATTTCACAGTATGTTTTATAATTTTTTCTGATAAGGGAAATAGTACAAAAATAGACGTGAAAGTGAGAAAATGCACTGTCTAGTGACGTCATCTGGCGGCATTTCTCATTTAAACACACGTTTTTTAGCAGATTATATCATTTTAACTGTCACATCTTCTCCAATAATTGTTCAATTCATGAACCAAGGGTATCCTCATGTTCGGTCCACTCAGTAGTTTCCACGTGGACACGAAATTCATCAAATATCAGACACCTGCAAATTCTCTATCGGACAAAATTTGGACACTTTGAACGCTTATAACTCCTTCTAACATAACTTTGAGGTTCTAAAAGTGGTTCCATTGGTTTTCTTGTGAAATTTTTTTCGAGAAACACCCCTCGAACTTTGTAATGTGACTAAATAAACATAAAGTTTCGCAGTTTTTTTAAAAAAATACTTGTCCGAGCTCTCTGATTGACTCGATCCACTGTGAGCCGTGGGATGTTACATGGAGGAGGAGGTGGGTGGCGAGGATCCCAACATCGCGGATGGATTCGATGAATGGGAGCCTGGGGAACGGGTTTTGGGAAGTCCGATTCGTATCAGACACGTAGTCGCGATACCCAGATTTGATAAGGTTTCGTCCTCGTGAATTGACTTCCGAGAAATTGGGCCGAACCCGTTCGACTGCCGCCCGATTATTGAATCTATGTCGATACGATAAGACTAGATATGAATTGGATTTTGCAGAAAGGAACCACTCTAAAGCATTGTAATGTCGCTGAGATTGTGCAACTATTTTCACCTTGCAGATATAAACCGATCACCAAAATAAGCTTACCTTTACTCCCGATCAACTATAAATTCAAGCCAAAAATTACCTTTGTTTTAATTGTTCGTGCGATTTAGTGATTATATTGTAAAGAATGTATGTTGCACAATCATGACAACATTGGAATGCTCTCGGTTCCTTTTTGCAAAATAAAGTCCAGCCTTATATTAACCGTGCAATACATACATCGCACTTTGATGTTAAGTATGGGATTGCTGTAAAGTTTAAAGCACACGGGAGAAACTGGACTACATTTTCAATAATTAGGACCTACAACTTGAGGCTTATCCATAAAATCACTACCTGCATAGAGAAACGTACGGCACATATGCTGATTCTAACATGAGCTAGGAATTTTAGTTCCTAATATTGCAAAAGCCAGTTCAGTTACATTAACGCCAAGTCAGTTCGCCTTCAATTTTTAGTGAAGGCAATACGAGCTCCCACGTGGTCGAATAGTTGTATCGTCGGAAAATGGTACGCTTATTTTAGACACGTAGAAGAGAAAGAGCTTTTTACCAACGGGAAGAGGTTACTTTAACGCAAGGTGTATACAATTACGAATTTTTCCATTTTC